CGCGCACCCTCGAGCCGGTCAGCAGCCCCTAACCCGGCTGGCGGCGGGTCGTGTGTGAGCAAAGCCGTGCCACCTTCTGAAGGGGGTTTTCTTTTTCAGCTGGCAACAATTCGGAGGACTACATTATTTATTTTTTAAACGTTTTATTTGTTTTTGCATAGAAGGACTGGGGTACAGGCCAGAGGTGCGGGGTGGGGCGTGAGGAGGGTGGCGAGAGGATTCACCAGAGACAGAGCCCAGGTTGAAGGGGGCGGCGGGGAGTGAGGAGGGGTCCATTGCACCATGTGGGCACCTCCCAGCCGGGTCGAACCCAGGCGGGGGGCACTGAGACTTAACCCTTAGGCGGCCAGGGAGGCCCCACGTGTTTTTGGTTCCGTGATCTATTGTTACCAGCTGTTTGCAGAGTAAGACCTTCCTTGTCACCTCTGTTCCTGCGCCCTACCTGGTGCCTGGCGCAGACTAGACCCTCAGGCTGCTCCATGGACACCTTTCGTGTGCACAGAGCTTTTCCGTATTGAAACAATTGCCTCTCTGTGGCTGTGTCCAAGCCTCGGGACCGTGATCTGTTATCAGCAGTCACCCCTCCCTCTGTAATGACTCACTGTCAAGCTCGGGCCACATCTCCCGGCAGGGAGGGGTGCGGCAGGGCTGCGTGCTGTGCGTGCCCTGAGCTGGCCACTCTGCCTCCTGGCGGAGAAACCCCCAAAGCCTTACAGCTGCCCGTTCTGCGGAGACCGAGCTGCCAGCGTCCGCTCCAGTCCACCCCTGCCCACCAGCCCCGCCCTGCGCCCACCGCCCTGCCCACCCTGGCCCCTCATTTGGGAGGCAGTGAAAGCGTGGCGTTGAAATAGTGCCCCTCTATTATGCAGTTGAGGAAAGGGAGGCACTGAGCGGCTTGCCTGTGCTCCCCAGGCCCAGAGGCGGGACTAGGAGCAGCTCCTGACTCCCAGCTCAGGCCAGCCTCCTCCTTTGCCTGCAGAGGAAGCTGCTGGGGAGCTGCTGCTTGCCGGGGAAGGGCCATCCGCGCCCCCTGCCCCCTGCAGACCTCCCCGCAAGGACCCAGCGCTCCAGCCTGGTAGCCCTGGAAAGCCTCCCCCAGCCGGACTCCCCAAGGCATGGAGGTGGGTGCAGGGGGAGAGCAGGGGTGAGCAGCCAAGTGGCGGGCGGTGCCCGTGCCGAGGCCGAGAGACGAGGCCACCAAGTCCCTTCTCCCCAGGGCCCGAGTTCTCCTTTGACCTGCTGCCCGAGGCCCGGGCCATTCGAGTGGCCGTCCAGCCCGGCCCCGAGGCCAGCGTGCGTCTCTGTCACCAGCGGGTCCTGGGGTGCGAAGAGCTGAGCAGCCCCTTCGGTGTCCCGGTAAGGAGCACCCCTGTCGGTATAAAGGCGGCTCGGGTGCGGCTGGTGCCCGAAGGAGCTACCCCGTGAACAGACGGGGGGCCCGAGCTTCAGGAGGGGAGGGGATCCCCAGAGGGGATCCCCAGGACACTGCTTGAGGCTCAGCCCAGCCGGCCTAGGCAGAAGAGGGGGCGCGTGTCACCTGGGGGCGGGCGTGGGACGAGAAAGCCAGGACGGCGGCGGCCCAAGTTGTAGTAAAAAGCCTGTTCGGTGCCCCCCGGAAGCCCCCCCCCCCCCCGGAGAAATAACCGAGTGCTCCCGCCTGCCTGGGCGCCCGCTGGCCGCGCCCCTGACGCCCGCCTCCACTCCCCGTCACCGCCGCCTTTCCCGCGCTGGCAGCTCTGGGCGCCTTCCCTGCGGGCCCAGCCGTCTGTGCTCACATGGGAGACGCCCCTCCCCGGCCACTGTCCACGGTCGCTGTGGCGCTCGCCGCTTCGGGCACCTGGCCCCCAGCTGGCCGGCAAGAGGGGCTCACTAAGTGGCCGGCTCCTCCCTGGCCCCTTCGGCCCCCACCTGTGTGTCGCGGGACCTAGAACAAGTGGTCAGACTGAGGCGGGAGAAACCAGTCTCACGTGAGGGGGACGGGAGGGGCGCGGCGCCCGCTGCCTGCCCCGTCCACAGCCGGGCTCGGCCCCTTCTCAGGCTTTTCTCTCCCTCTGCTGCTTGGGCAACAGAAGATGGTGGCGGGGGCCAGACTGTGGACCTGCCGTACGAGTTCCTTCTGCCCTGTCTGTGCGTAGAGCGGGGAGCGTGGGTGTCCGGGGTGCCACGCCGAGGCCCCCCAGCGGATGGCACGGGTGGTCAGGCACAGCTGGGTGTGCTTTTCTTTTTTAAGATTTATTTATGCACACAGAACGGGGGTACAGGCCAGAGGCTCAGGGGCAGTGAGAGGGTTCACCAGACAGTGGGGAGCAGAACGGGCCGATGGACAGAAATACACTGCCAAGGGGAGCAGCCGGCAGGTCGGCAGGGTCTGCCGCGCCCTGGGGGTCCCTCCCTGGCCGGGGATCGAACTCGCGCCGCAGGGGCTGTGACGGCTTCACGGTGCTGCGCTGTGACCCCTGCGCCCCCAGCAGGCCCCGACACATCTGGTGTTTAGAGGACGGGCAGGTACAAGAGGCCCGGGAGCCTGGTGCCAGTGCGGCCGTGCCTCACACTGGGCAGAGGTGGAGGGGGCCTGCTGAGCACGGGGCAGTCCTCGGGGGGACCCCAGCCTCAGCCCCACCGAAACCCAGCTTTCCTCAGCCCACACCGGCCTCGGCTCAGCCAAGAGACGCAGCAGAGGCAGTTGCCTTTACTGTGTGTCCGAGGGCGTCCTGGCGGAAGCTGCGGTCACTGCCAGGGTCCGTGTGCCCACAGGTCCTGACCAGCCTCCCTGGCGACTCCCGCGTTGTGAGTCTGAGGTCTAGGCCGCTACCGCCCTGGACAGCTAGGGCAGGCCTGGTCACCTGGGAGGGGACAAGACGGAGGCTCTCGGCCCCCGAGTGACAAACAGCTGCGGGAGTGGACACCGCTGGGCTTTCAGGCAGTCCGGGGAGAGGGAACCGTGTGGGCACCCGGGGGTCACCCAGAGCGGAGCAGGGAGCCTCCTGCCGAGGGTCAAAGTGCAGCACTGTGAAGCTGCCTTGCCCGTGCAGGCGGCTGGCGACAGGCGGGGTGCAGCCGGGATGAGCCCCAGGTCTGAGCCATGTAGGGAAAGCCGAGTCTCTGACCCGCCCCGCCGGCCCCTCCCCAGGCGTCCTACCTGCAAGTGGACACCGTGAGGCGCAAAAAGTGTCCCTTCCAGAGCCGGCCGGAAGCCTGTGAGTGCCGCTGGACGCCCTCTGTGCCAGGCACTGCTCTCCTGGCACAGCAGCACCCCCGTGTGGGCGGGGTCCCGGGGCCTGCCGCGCCCCCTGGTGCCCCTGGGGGAAGGGCCGTGTCTGCCGACCACCAGCCAACACATCAGAGTGGCCCGAGCCCCGGGCAGGGCTGGAGCTGAGGGCGGGCGGGCCTCAGGCGTGAACGCAGGAAAGGGAGAAGCCCAGGAGGGCTGCGGGAGGTGGCGGGGCCAGGCTTTAGCGCAGGGAAGGGAGAGGAGGGCGTCGCCCGCGGAGGTGAGCCCAAGAGTGGACAGTGTTCATGCTTGGGAGCAGCGAGGAGCTGGCCGGGGAAGGCGGGAGACGATAAAATAGAAACGGTGAGGAGACGGCGGAAGGCCAGGCACAGTCGCTGGGCACCGGAACAGTGTGGGCGCCCCTGATGGGGGGGGGCGCCTCACTCCCTGCCCCCACCCGCCCAGACGGCCCGGACTTCTGGAAGTCAGTGCGCTTCACTGACCTCAGCCAGCGCGGTCAGATGGTCATGGCGGCCACCCTCCGCTGCCCGCTGAAGCTGGAGGCCTCCCTCTGCCAGGCGCAGGGCGGGCCGGCGCCCTGCCAGGACGTCCCGAACGCCAGGGCCCGGGAGTCGCAGGGGGTAAGACGGCCTGGCGGCCTGGCGGGCCTGGGGCCGGCCTGGGGTGGCCGCCGCTGCCTAACCCCGCCCTCGCCCGCCACAGTGGTTCGTGTTGGATCAGGTGGACCTGCACCCCCAGCTCTGCTTCAAGGTACGGCCCTGGGCGAGGCGGGCGGGCTGGCCCCTGGAGCCGCTGACCCACCTCCTTGCGCCCTCAGTTCTCCTTCGGAAACAGCAGTCACGTTGAATGCCCGCACCAGACAGGTGAGCCCAGGAGCCACCTGGCTGGGGCTCCCGCACCCCACCCTCACCAAGCCCACGCTCCGCTCTGCAGCCGGCTCCGGCTGCTCCCCCCACAGTTAGGGCCTCCACAACCCCCTCCCCGGCAGCCCCGTCTTGGAACGTGAGCATGGACACCCGGGCCCAGCAGCTGGTCCTCCGCTTCTCCTCTCGGACGCAGGCCACCTTCAGTGCTGCCTGGAGCCGCCGCGGCCCGGCCGGGGCAGCCTGGCGCCCGCCCAGTACTCAGTTCACCAGGTACGTCTGGGCCAGGGCGTGACCCGGGCTGGTTGCAGCCTCCTTTGGGGATGGACAGAGGCAGGAGACGGCCCCACCCGGCTTCCCACCGGCCAGCGGGGCAAGCTCTCCGGCCACCTCAGGAGGCAGGGCGCCCCGCTGGGGAAGCTGTGCAAAGCTGTAAGACCAGCAGGGCACAGGCCGCTCCGTGTGGAGGGGCAGCTCCCCCCCTCGCACCTGCCCGCTCCCCTCGCACCTGCCCCCTCCCCGCTCCCCTCGCACCTGCCCGCTCCCCTCGCACCTGCCCGCTGTACCCCTGTACCCGACTGAAGGCCGCAGTCACAAGTCAGCCGCACCACAGTGTAAGACCCGCGCAGGGCGCCCCGCTGGGTAAGCTGTGCAAAGCTGTACCCTCGCACCTGCCCGCTCCCCTCGCACCTGCCCCCTCCCCACTCCCCTCGCACCTGCCCGCTCCCCTCGCACCTGCCCGCTGTACCCCTGTACCCGACTGAAGGCCGCAGTCACAAGTCAGCCGCACCACAGCGACAGCCCCGCCCAGGGCTTTCTTTTTTATTTTTTGTTTTCTCCTCTGGGTTTATTTTTTTAGATAGTTTATTTTTGCATCATTTTGTGCATGTTCCCATCTCAGTTGCAATCCCCTTAGGTTTCCCATCACCAAATAACCCATGTGTCATCACCATAGTCTGTTTTTGATCCTATTCCCCACTCCACCCCCACAAAATGTCTCTGGCTGTTCATCATGATCATTATTTTCTCGCCCGCCCAGGGCTTTCTTACAGCTGGGTCAGCTCGTTTGTGGTCTGGAGGGCTTCCCAGCGCTTAAGGCTTAGTTGGGACCGAGCGGTGCGGAAGATTTAATAACCCGAAATTGAGAGCAAATTCACGGACTCGTTTCTGAGCTGGGAACAGGCCAACTCCTGCAGCTCGGCCATGATGGAGAGCCCTGCCCAGCGCCTGCTTCCCCCCCCAGAACCCGCGCCTGGGCGGGGCTGGGGGAGGGGAGGCAGGGGACGGTCACCGCCCTGGCCGGCTCCGGCCGCCCAGTCCAACTCACTGTGACATTTTTTGTTTGTTCTAAGATTTATTTATTTATGTATACAAGAACTGGGATGCAGGCCAGAGGTGGGGGGACGAGAGGACTCCCCAGAGACAGCAGGGAGGGAGCACAACAGGCAGATCCACTGAAATCCAGTGCTGAGGGGAGCAGCGGGCGGGTCGGGAGAGGGCTGCCGCACCCTGTGGTCACTCCCTGACCGGCTGGGAATCGAACTCGCGCTGCAGCGGCTGCTGCGGCAGCCTCACAGGGCTGCGCTTTAACCGGTTGCGCCTCCAGGGAGGCCCTCGGAGTGCTTCTGTGGAGCACTGTGTCCGGCCAGGGTCAGGCCCTGGGGCACACAAGAAAGGCCCGTGGTGCAGCCCTGGCCCTCGGGAGTCCAGTCTGGGACTACTCCTAGGCCCGGCTACCGGCACGGAGCTCACGCTGCTCTGGCTCCTGCAGTAAAATAAGGATCCTTTCCCTCCCCTACCAATGAAAAATGGAGGCAGAGGGCCGAGGGGTGCACGCCAGGGGCCTTCCAAGAGAGTCAGCCTGAGTCCCTGTCCCCCAAATGCGAGACTTAACGATCTCTGCAGTGTCCAAACCGCCCCTTTGGGTCTGCAGGACAGTGAAGGGAAACCACATGCAATTAGCCCCCCGGCCCGGGAGCTGCAGGAAGACGGACACTGTGTCTGAACCCCCTTCTCTCTCAGGGCTGGGCTCGAGGCAGCGCCCAGCGAGGAGGAGGCCCAGCTGCTGGACTTGTGTCTGGGCAGTGGCCAGAATGCAAGGTCCTGAGGGTGGCTTCAGGCCCTGAAACCCCGGTGGGGTTTGGGTGAAGGGGGAGGGGCTCAAGAGCCCTCGTCCCTTGGGACCCCTCTCCCGGGGCTGGAAAGGAAGCCCAGCCTGGGCATCTGCGGCCCGGCCCGGTGGAACTGGATTTGCCTCGGAGGGGCCGGTCAGCCTGCTTTTGCTCCCTCAGTCTCGGGGCTCCAGCCCAGGGTCGCTGTACCTCATCATCCCCTTCCGGAGGCCGGGGGACTGTGTCCTGGTAAGGAGCGCCCCTGCAGCAGCCCACAGGCAGAGCTGTTTGGTGTGAGATTAGAACTAGGTTGCGAGCACATGAATGTCGGGGCACCGTGACGGGGCGCTGTGAGTCAGGAGGAGGAAGGCCATTAGAGGATGAGCTCCCCATGTGTGGAATACAAAGAAACAGCAGAGGGGCAAAAGTTAACCAAAATAAACCCAGAATCTGACTGCAGCGCTGAGACAGCCAGAGGGGCAGGGTGGGTGGGACCCAGGGAGTGGGGGAGGGCCATTGTGCGTTCCCGGGGGGGCCTGGGGTGGCCCCCGTTCCACAGGCGTGACCAATACTCCTCAAGCACAGTGCTGGAAGCGACCTTACTGCCAGAAAACATTTTTTTTCCTTGCCCCTGAATAACTCACATCAGTGAGTTGCCTGGCACAGAGACCAGGCTGTGGTTCGGGTCACAGTGTGCTCTGGCTTGGGATAAAATAATCTAAATAAAAATAAACAAAGCACATGAGCGCTCCGCTCCCCCGCCAAAAACCAAAAACCCGATTCTGGCTTCTCTGGACAAATCAGAGGGCCTGGCGCTGGCCACATTCCGGCCTGTGGCAATGGCTGGAGCCCAACCCCTCACCGACACCCTGCCAGCTGCCAGCTTTGATCTACCAGTCGAGGGAGAGGGCCTGCCTTGCCCTGAGCCTGGCCAGGAGCTGGGCAGGGGACCCCACCCAGGGGCTTCTCCCCTTCCCAACCCCCTGCCTCATTCAGCTCCCCTGGGAGGAGGGGAGACCTGGCGCCCAGTCACTGGGGGGCGGGGGCTGTACCCTCAGGTGTGGCGGTCAGATGTCCAGTTTGCCTGGAAGCGCCTCCTGTGTCCTGAGGGTGAGTTCTGGGAGCGTGGGGGAGGGTCCCAGGGAGGTGAGGCGCTGAAGAGCCCAGCCGGGCCTCACCCGGCTGGACCAGTCTCTCACAGACGCCTGGGACTCTTGCTGCTGGCACTGCTGGCTCTCACCGTTTTGGGGGGCATTGTGCTGGTCCGCACCTGCCAGCGCCCACCACTGTCAGGTAAGATGACCTGAGCTTAGCCCGGGGAGCCAGGCCCGCTCCCTTTCCCGCCC